ACTTGCCCATGGTCACACAGCTGGTGTTGTAGGAATCGAACCTGGGCTCGCCCATTCTTAACCCCTGCCCGTCTCCCCAAGAGGTCAGTGAAGGCTGGATGTTTGTGGTAAAAATCAATGTAGGATCCTCAAGATTCTAAACATTCACAATAATAGGGCTGCACCTGAACCAGGTGAGTGGTTTTCACACATACCTGTGATGTCTGAGTTAGAGGCCTAGGGGGTCCCTGCATTGCTCTGACAGGTTTGTGGACCCCTGGGGGGGGTATTTCCTGGGGTGCCTTTGCATATTCTATTTTCATTTTGGTGGTGATCTCACAAGAAATTAAAAAGAAATCTGTCCTGGCTTATCTTATTGACAGTATTGACTGAGGTCCCTGGAGAAGGAAGGAATCAGGACAGCCGGGGTTTTACCAGGAATCGTTTCCAAACCCGCAGTGGGGCTGTCGCTGCAGGTTTGTTTACAGGGGTCAGGCCGAGCAAGATTTAGAGTTGGCCCAGCCTGGAGCCGGTGGACTTGAAACTGAATTCTCCTTCTAGCACTTCCCAGGCCTTGGGTGAAGGTCTTTTCCTCTCTGAGTCTCAGTGCTCTGGCGAATGGAGCCACATTCCCTTCCTTGTCAAGGATGAAATGTGTCCCTTAGTGGCTTAGCCCACAGTTGAGCTCAGCAGGTGGGCACCGGTCTGACTGGAGGCTTCTCACAGACTCTGGCAGGTGCGCTGTGTTCTCTTTGTCACTGGGAGGAGGTAAGACAGAGCCGTGTTGCTCTGCCAGCCCGTCTCCACCGAGGCCCCATGCTGGCAGACTGCAGAGCGAGGGGCGGGGAACTCATGCAGAGGCCTGGTGCTCAGGGAAGGGAAATGACTGTCCCTGTCACATGGTCAGCCAGCAGCCCGGCCGGGATGAGGACTCCTGATGCCTTGTGACTTCCCGCTAGGGCTCCTTCCACTTCTTCTCATGGCCGGGGGCTTCCGGGCCACGCTCTGCAGCCGATGGGTGGTCCCAAGGCCGCCTGTGCACCCTCCACCCTGCCAGACCCCTTCTCCTCATCCCTGTTCAGGGCTAGGATGGTCACAGGTGCCCCTTCTGAGGTCCGGGTGGTCTCACTGGAGTGCACTTCTGCAAAGAGATGGCATCCAGGCAGGCTGAGTGCTGGGCTGAGGCCTCACAACCTCAGCTGGCTTCTCTGTAGAGAACAGGCTTTTCTTTCCACCACGAAGAGAGACATCGCACAGCACGGCAGAGGAGTCTGCTGACATCTCATCTAGAAAACGTAGCGGCAGCAAGATATGGTAGTGAAGACCCAGGGTCACCATGCGTGTCATTACGGGGAGGTGCTAAACGCTCGCGATTCAAACGCAGCGTCAGCATCACCTGGGAGATGGTGAGAGACGCAGAATCCCGGGCCTACCCCAGACCTGCTGGATCCAACCTGCCTTTTAACAAGACCCCAGGGAACTCTTGCGCACGTGAAAGCTGGAGAATCACTGCACTAAAAATAATCAGCAGTGAGATCATGGAGATGTTGATTTTCCTTGTCCATTTTCCCTGATTTGTCGCTGTCTTTTTCTTTCACATGAATTACTCTTTTATTGTGGTAAAATACACACACCTTAAAATTTACCATCTTAACCATTTTTTAAGCATACAGCTCAGTGGTATTAAATATATTCACATTGTTGTGCAGCCATCACCGCCATCCATTCCCACAATTCTTTTCCTCTTGCAAAAACTGAAACTCTATACCTATGAAACAACAACTCCCCATTCCTCCCTCCCCCAGCCCTGGCAACCACCGTTCTCCTTTCTGTCTCTATGAATTTGACTACCCTGAGTGCCGCATATAAGTGGAATCCTACCGTGTCTGTTTTCTTGCGACTGGCTTATTTCACTCAGCACAATGTCCTCAGGGTTCATCCAGGTTGTAGCATGTGTCAGAATTTCCTTCCTTTTTAAGGCTGAATAATAGTCCACTGTGTGGATGCACCACGTGTAGCTTATCCATTCACTTGTCAGTGGACACTTGCATTGCTTCCATGTTTTAGCTACTGTGAATAATGCTGCTACGAACATGGGTGTGCATATCTCTCTTCAAGACCCTGTTTTTGGGTACATACCCAGAAGTGGTACTGCTGGGTCATATCGTAATTCTGTTATTACGTGAATTACATTTATGACCAGAAAAAAACAGCGAAGGCACTTCTGGGATGAACACCTTGTCAGGTTTCCAGTTGGCATTTGCCCAAGGGCACGTAGCGTTGTTGGGTACAGTACTTGCAAAAAGAAAAAGAAAGCCTGACTTCTCTATTGTGGTGTTAGAGAGAGAAGAACAGAAACTAAACCGTCTGCTAAACAGAGCAGCATTTATTGATAGACTAGGTGTCAAGAGAGATGTTTGAGGGCCTTGGGTGGGTGGGGTCTCCATCATGAGTGGCACTTCAAGATGGTCTTATCTGGTGGGAACTATGTATAGGCTATACTTTCTCAGAATCTCTTCCAGGAAAAAGAGCAATGGCAGTGTTTGGGGGGTCAGCTGCATCACTCTGTGCCTACGGAGTGTCTACTAAGCGGCATTATCCCCAGGCTTGGGGTGAGGCAAGTTTTGGGCAGTAGTCCTAACACAGGCCTTTGAGTCTTGAGTCAGGGTCAGAGTTCCACGAATTAGTGTTCAAGTTAGAACAAAACCTAAACCCGTGTCGCCGTGGTCCACGAGGCCCTTTGTGACTGGCACCTGCCTGCCTGTCTGATCTTTAGCTTCCCGTTTTTGCTTTTTGATCAAGTCACAGCGGACTTCCTTCCTGGCCTCGGAAGACCAGAAGCCACGCGTGTCCCTGCCTCCTGAGCTCTCCCCTGGCTGTTTGCTCTGCCTGGAATGCTGGTCTCCCATATCTTTCCATGGCTGCTCCTTTGAATAAAGGGCTCAGCTCAATGTCACCTGTGCAGAGAGGCTTTCCATGGCCGCCCTGGCTTGTGTGGCCCTCTCGCTCCCTCCCTGTCTCATCAGCCCATTTGGCTTCTCTTCCTAGTATGACCCTCTAACATCGTCTCCTTTGTTACTTTCCTTAGATACTACCGTATTTGCCGGCGTATAAGATGATTTTTTGGCCCTGAAAAATATGCCTCCAAGTGGGGGGTCGTCTTATACGCCAGGTACACTTCAGATAGACTGCCCATAGTGCTTGCCCTGTGCCATAGTGGCCTCCCGATGCCCGCCCACTTCATTCCACATACCGTTCAGGCATCAGCAGCGCTGCTGGGTGTATGCTCGGCTGTTATGCGATTTTGCTGTTATGCGATTTTACCACACTCGCAAAATCGCACACAGCCGACCATATAACAAACTCTGTATTTTGAGTGGAAATGTTAGGGGGTCGTCTTATACGCCGAGTCGTCTTATACGCCGGCAAATACGGTACTTGTTTCTTTCTAATGGAACTCTGGCTCCATAAGAAGATGGCTCTTTATACCATGTAACCCCTGGGTCCCAGCACTTAGAACATTGTCTGGCACACAGGAGAAGTTAAATACTGCACACAGTTGCTTGTCTTCTGTGAGCTTCAGTTTCCCCATCTGAGGTGTGGGGACCCTAATACCTGGCTTGTAGGGTGGTTGTGAAAATTACAGGACATCATCCATGCAGAGCCCTCACTTGAGTGCCTGGCATACAGGAAGTGTTCAACACAAAGTCACAACTGTTATTAACCCGGTGGCCCTGGCATGACTTGGATGAATCGTTGGCTATCTCTATGGTGATGCCCTGCTGGCACCCCTTTGAGTTGCCTGGGAGGGAGGCAGCTTGGTGGCAGCCCTAGGCCTGCGGCTTGGAGTATCTGCTGTTGTCACCAGAAGTTGAGTCTCCTTTGAAACGACTGTGTTATGTATGTGTCTGCGTCGTAACACGTACCCGTGTCTTTGTTGGTTGGAGTCAGCGGGCTTCTTGTGGACATCAGATGTAGCTCTGACGATGTGCTTCGAAGTGTCCCAGACCTCCTTACATGGAAGTACAGTGTATGCCACGTGCATCGCTTGGGAATCCTTTTGGCCGCGAGTAACAGCCCAGCATACGGTAGTTTGAACAAATGGGCTTATTTGTTGTGTTAGAGGGAGGAGCTGCCCAGCACTGGCTCAGCAGCAAAACGACGTCAGGGCTGGTGTCTTTGCGGTGCGCTTGGCCTTCACCGCTTCATGGAACCAAGAGGTTGCTTGGCTCCACCCTACGTGTTTACGATTGAGGCATGAAGGATGGCAGAAGGAATGAGGAAGCTGTTAACAGCTTTTTATCAGGATGGTATACTTTTCCCAGAATCCCCCAGTGCACGTCTGCTTACACCTTGTTAGCTAGGACTTCTTAACGTCGGCCTTATAAGAGAGGCTTAGAAAAGGAGTAATTAGTTTTTCAGCGTGTACTGAGGAAGGTAGCATTTTGGAGATGATGAAGAGGTCAGCCTATGAGCAGAGCCTGCCATACTAGGAAACCTATATTTTAAGTTAGGCTATTGGTTCTCAATTGGGGGCAGTATTGTCCCCCAGTGGACATTTGGCCACTGGAGACATTTTGTTGCCACAACTTGTGTGTGTGTGTGTGTGTGTGTGTGTGTGTGTGTGTGTGTGCGTGTGCGCATGCACACACACACATGCACTAATGGTATCCAGTGGGTAGAGAAGCCAGGGGTGCTGGTAGACATCCCACAATTCGTAGGGCAGCCCCCACCACAGAGAATTATCTGGCCCAAATGTGATCTAGCACCAAAGTTGAGAAACCCTGAATTAGACCATTGTTCAAATTTGGGGACCATCGTTTAGCTCTTTCCCGTGATGCAGTAACCTGGAAATGGCCAAACTTCATCAAAACGATGTAGATTATTAATACCTGGCCTTGTTATTGACATTATTAAAGAGAAGGCTGATACTAGTAGGGCACAACCATATACCATATGTCAGAAAGTCTTAATAGAAGGCTAATGTCAAACAGAACTAATTAAGTCTCGTTGCATTTTAGGATCACAGAACAATGACATGAAAAGACAATTTCTGCTGGAGCGACTGCTGGATGCAGTGAAACAGGTAAGAAGAAAGCTCACGTTTGACCTTGAGATCAAGTAAGAGCGTCATGACTCACAGAAGTCATTTCTGTCCTTCTATATGGACAGACTTACCCCCCGCCCCCCCTTGCATCTGGGAACAGCGAGACTAGTGGTTTGGTAGAGCGGGGAAGGCGGTCAGAGGTGGGATGGAGGTGCTCCTGTGTCCCAACCTTCTGAAGCTCTCTGGAGGACCACGTCAGGGATGTCCCTTTGAGGAGGGCACTGATGTGGGCTTCAAAATCTCATTTCCAAGCAGTTGTGTTGTAGGGCAGCTCCTACGGGTGCTGAGGTGGTGGTTGGAGTTAGGATCCTGTGAGCACCGCACAGAGGCAGCAGGGATGCGCCACGCCCAGGACCCTGGATCCTGCAGAGCTCTGCTCTGATTGGCCGATGCTATTTTTGATGCCTGGCTTTGGGCCGGGTGGGAAGTGAGCTTTGACAGGAGCTGGCATCGGTTTGCCTGCCTGTATGGACCGGATATGCACCATCAACAGCATGCTCATCACATGCTGGGCTCTCTGCTGAGTGCTTGACATTAAGCGCCCCAGCAGCCCTGCGAGATTGTTCCTACAATTATTTCCATTTTACAGCTAAAGAAACTGAAGCTCAGAAAGGTCCAGTAATTTGCGGAACGTGTCATAGTAAATAAACAGCAGAGTTAGGATCTGGCCTTGGGAAATGTAGGTAGCTCACGTTTTAGAAGGGGCTGCTGACAGTTACATGTAATCACAATATAGGGAGATAAGTACTTTAGCAGAGGTGCGTGTTGAGTGTTGATGTGAGCCCAGAGAATTTAGCATCTGCGCAAGCCTTGGGCAACCTGATGTGGTGGTAAAGACACAGGCCCAGGCGTAGCAGGGGTCGAATGCCACTTCGTCTCCCCATAGCTGTGTGTGCTGGGACTGGGACAACTCATCAAGCCTCTCCGGGCACCCTCTTCTCCGTAAGAGGGCCACTGATCTCCACAGGGCCGTGGGGGGAACTGCATTTGTTACAGTGGGTGAAGGCCTGCCCAGCCCCTGGTCCACTGTAAATTCGGAGCCCATGTTATTCGTTTCTTCTTTCTTTGCTCCAAAAAATGGAAACTATGACAAGGTGAGAAGGCAAGTGGAACCACTTTAAATGTAGCCGTTAAACAGAAATACATTGGAGCTTATGCCCAGAGTGCTGTTATTATTTTGGGTGATGAAAGTGTTGTATTTTTGCCTTTAAACAGTCAACTTTATTGAGGTATAATTTGCACACAATAAAATACACCAATTTTAAGTGTGTAGTTCTGAGTGTTGACAATGTATCATTTAAAATTGTGTTTGTGTGTGTGTGTGTGTGTGTGTGTGTGTGTGTGTAGTTTTTGGATGATGAGTTCAGGAATCTGGTAAGCCTGCTACCCACAGTGTAGATTCTACATCTTTCTAAAAGAGTAGTGGTGATGGTTGCACAATATTGTGAACTGAATTGTATAACTAAAAATGGTTGAATTGGTAAAGTGTATGCTATCACTATTTTGCTACAATTAAAAAAAAAAAAGAAAAAAGGAGAATACTTTGCTTTCATTTGTACCCACTCTGGGTAAATTGTTGCTCAGCACAACCAGACGACTTGTTTGAAGCATGATTCACGCTGTCATCATTTTCTAGTCAGTCATAACAGCTTTGGGGCCCTGTCAACAGGGACCCATCACTGCAGATTTGTGGCAGTTTTGATTATTGCCTGTTCAGAGCTCTGTGTTGGCTGCTGACACATAGAAGAAGCTTCCCAGATAATGTGCGGAAGGCCGTGTTTTCCTCTCTGTGTTGTTTTTCTCCAAAACTCACTTCTGTACACGTGGGTGATAAGGGCTTCCTTTACATGGTGGCTGGAAGGCTGGGGTGTCCATTGTCTTCCGTCTTGGGCTGACACCCAGGGCAGTGGGAGGCCCTGGGGTTTCTGGCCCTGTGCCCCCCAAGACCCTGAGGCCTGTGTGGGCCGTTGTGTGATGTTTGAGTGTCCTATCCCAACAGCTGGTCTCAGCAGCTTCTTTTTCCGTGCAGTGCCAGATCCGCTTTGGAGGGAGAAAGGAGATTGCCTCGGATTCCGACAGCAGGTAAATATGTCATTTCTAAAACCATTTACCATCACGAGCAAAAAGGTGAACAGAGATGCCAGCTTCTGTATTCTGCCTGTGCAGCCACGCGGTGCTGCGGTTAAATGTGGGTGACCTGTAGCTGTCTCTGCAGTGACTAGCCTAAAGTATTCCCAGCTTCCCATGGTTCTCCTTCTTGGATTCTGTCCGGAGGGAATTACTTGAAATACCTTCCTGCATACCATTATTTTTAGGGTGACTTACAATGACGAAAACTTGGAAATCGAAATGCTTGGCAATTGGGAAATGGTTAGTAAAGTGCAGTGCATCAGTAGAATGACATATTATATAGCCCTTAAATTGATGTCCGTACAGAATTTGTTTTGAGCAGGAAATGCGTATGCAGAATTTAAAAATTATATATTTAGTAAAATTAACAGCAGGATGCAAAGTTACATGGACACAGAGTGATCCTAGCCGTTAGTCAACTTGGGCAACAAATGGACCCAAACGTGGACAGAGGTAATGTTGGAGTTAAGGATATTGGAAATCTTTATAATTCCTGATATTTTTCATATTTTATACTGTGATTGTGTGTTCCTTTTATAATTAAAAAAAAAAGTCCTAAAAATTGCCACTGACCTTTGTGACCCAGGAAAAGCTGGCATAATGGCATGAAGCTTATAACATTGACTGGAGGGGACAGAAAGGTGTTGGCAAAATCAAGAAAAGACACACAGGCATTTGCTGGAAATGCTCTGTGAAGCCACTGTGAGCCTACCTGTGCTCTGTAGTCTTGGAGGGCCAGGATGCACATTCCTGCAAAGGAGGGGAGGGAAGTCGCTGGCTCAGCAGTCTGCTCCTTCTGGAGACTGTCCACGTCCCCACCCTCTTACCCCAGCCCACCCAGCAGAACCAGTTCCCTCCTCTGCCCTCTCACACCCTTGTTCTCCTGGGACACTTTACCAGCCATGAGCAAAGCATGTAGCTCTACATGTCAGCAGAGCTGTGGGGACTTTGGAAACGGGTGCAGATGTAAAATCATGCCCCCTCCCTTACACGCTCTACCTGTTCTTTGTTTCTTAGTAGTTTTTCTCCATAGCACTTGTCACCGACTTAACAGACTGTACATTATGCTTTCTAATTTTGTTTATTTCTGTCTCCCATACCATAACGTCAGCTCTGCGCCGGCAGGGAGGTTATGCTGTCTTGTCCATGATGTATCCCCAGTGCCTAGAAGCATCTAGAAGGTACCCAGTCAAGATTCATTGTCTGGTCGAGTGTGTGTGTTGCATCGCACCATGGTCAAGTGTTTAAATATCTGTGCCACCGCGAGGCTTGTGAGCTTTGAGAGCAGAGGGCATCCTCTCCATTTTTTTACTTCTCTGTGTGTGGCACCAACATTTTGGGGCTGTCACACATTAGCTTCCCAGGACACATCTGTGGCGTTAGATCACTTGACTGATGTATTGCTTCAGTCTTCCCAGGGGGCTGTGGGTGTCCCCTGGGCAGGCTGGTGTGAGCGTGCGTGGCTTTGAACCTCGGCCCTTCTTTCCAGCTGTGTCACCCCTCAGAGCCCCCAAATTAGGTCTACTGTGATATTGCGATTTATAATAAGAAATGTATGTTTTTTGTTCTTTGTCCTCATTCCTGGCACTGAGCTCTTAAAACGCCTGGAATTTCCAAAGTGATGATAGCCATAAAGGTGTCTTTTGTTATGTCTATGTAGTGACTTTCCTGAAATCACCAAAGATGGGGGCTGGTTGTCAGGAGAGCCAACCATATGATTAGGAGGTTGGAACTTTCAGTCCCAACCCCCACCTCTGCCGAGCAGAGAGAGGCTGGACATTGAGTTCAGCCATCAATGCCAATGGTTTAATCAGCCATGCTTAGGTAATGAAGCCTGCATAGAAACCCAAAAGGACTGAGTTCAGAGAGCTTCCGGGCGGTGAGTGCTGGGAGGTGCCCGGATTGTGGCCTGCTCAGAGGGGGCGTGGAAGCTCCCTGCCCCTTCCCCACACCTTGCCCTGTGCATCTCTTCCATCTGGCTGTTCCAGAGTTACCTTCTTTTCTAAAAAACCTGGTGATCTAATAAGTACAATGTTTCCCTGAGTTCTGTGAGCCGCTCTAGCAAATGAATCAAACCCAAGGAAGAGGTCGTGGGAACCTCTGAGATAGATGGCTAGTCAGCCCGAAGCATAGGACACAACCTGGACTTGTGACTGTCATATGAAGTCAGGGGCAGGTGCAGTCTTGTAGGACTGAGACCTTAACCTGTGCCATCTGATGCTGTCTCCAGGTAGATAGTGTCAGAATTGACTTGAATTGTAGGACACTCCGCGGGTGTTGGAAATCGTTTGGTGGCGTGGGAAAGCCCACACACTGATATCTACCTAGCCTGTTGTGCGGGTTAAGTCACATACTGTGTGTCAAAGTGCCAGACATGTAGAAGTGGTAGCTTCACTCCAGCTAAGGTCCTTGCTTCTCAGGGAGTGAAGGCTGGCTGGACACGTGTTAGCAGCATGTGACACCTACCCATGCTGCCTGCTAAGGCGCACAGACTACAAATAGAATGGAAGGGCAAAGGTGAATGGTGAGCCTTGTTACTGTTCTCGTTTGCTCTCAAAGGAGCAATTGAAGAAGGAGGATGTCTTTCCCTGTATCGCTGGGCATAGGTCTCAGTTCCACTGGGAAAGTGGGACTTCTTGTGTGTGCCTCTTCCCACATCAGCCTCCCCTAGGACTCTAAGGACCAGTGTCTATTAAGAAACGACGGATACCTGGAAGAGATTTTTCTTAAAAGGTCAAGCGTTATCTTCGAATGCATTTGAAATGTACTGTCTAGGAACAGTTCTAGGCAGGACGGTGAGGTGCCGGCTTGTGGTTGCAGCCAGAGAGTCCAGCTGGTCTGGTGAACATCAGCGGGGACCTTTGAAAGGAGGGCCCACTGGTGTACCTGCCGGGTGCTGTGGTCACAAGCAGCAGAAGGCTGAGGATATTGTGATCCCGTGGAATCAATGGCAGGCCCGGCTTGGAAGCAAGGAGTCCATGCAGCTTTGGAAGGCTTGTAAGTAGGAAACGGGAGCCCGGAAATGGTCTCCTAGCTGACAGGGTCGGCAAACTTTTGAGATGGAGGAGCCGCCAGGGGTCAGCAAACTGCGGCTCACGAGCCACATGTGGCTCTTTGGGTACGGACATGTGACTCTGAAGTACAATTGAAAATGAAAATAATACTATTATAGTTTCATTCATAAAATTTTAAAAATTGTATTCACATAATGGTGATTATGTAAAAATATATTTATGGCTCTCGAATAATTTTTAAATTGTTGTGAGGGACAGGGTTGGCACTTCCAGGGGTCAGCAAACTTTTGAGACGGAAGAGCCGCCAGGGGTCAGCAAACTGCGGCTCACGAGCCACATGTGGCTCTTTGGGTACGGACATGTGACTCTGAAGTACAATTGAAAATGAAAATAATACTATTATAGTTTCATTCATAAAAATTTTAAAATTGTATTCACATAATGGTGATTATGTAAAAATATATTTATGGCTCTCAAATAATTTTTAAATTGTTGTGAGGGACAGGATTGGCACTTCCAGGGGTCGGCAAACTTTTGAGATGGAACGTACCCAAAGAGCCGCATGTGGCTCGCAAGCCGCAGTTTGCCAACCCTTGTCTAGCAGAAGCAGTGATCCAGATAAGGCCCTGCTGGTGGAGTGAACACCAGCTGTTTTCTGACTCTCGTTCTGCTCAAGATTGGCATTCTAAGGAGGAAGCGCCTGATGTCCAGTTTCGGGTCAATTGGCCACCTTCTGGCCACCAGCAGAAGGATTTAGTTGAAGGAGTTTCCTGGGACCCTGACGGCTGTGGAGTGCAAAGATGCCTACTTCACCATCCCACCAGGACAGTATCCAGGGAGGAGGAAATACACCCTCAAAACGACATCTGGGTGCTGTTGTGAAGGTGGAATGGACACGGGGGGGCCAGAATGCCCAGCAGTTGTCCCCCGTTGCTGCTGCATTGAAATCACCTTTCCCGTGACAGCACTGTGGTTTAAAACTGTTTCCATCTATGTCACCAATCGCATTGGATCTTTGCAATGACTCTGGGGTGCAGGAGAACAAAAGGGGGATGATATTCTACTTTTACAGGCACAGGAGCTTGTCATTTGAGCAACATTTATTTATCATCTCCTAAGTGTGGCTGCTGGGGGCACAGGCTGAGGCCCATTAGGTGGGTGGCATGGTTGGTGGGTCATGGAACTCAGACTTCATATTCCGTGCGGGCCTCACTCTAACCCTACATTCCCTCTTGTTTTTCCAGCCATTTCCCAGATTGAGGGATTTGTGTCACTGCAAATACCATTATTTTAAGTATTAAACATCATGGCATTCAATTTCTTTCACTTGCCTAGTGGCTCCGTTATCCTCCTTTCAGTTCTTTTGAATTCTTTTATGTCGTTGGAGGAAAGACTTGGTTTGGTATTAAGATTAAGTTGGACTAAATGAAATTGCCAATATTTGATTGTTTTTGACCTACAAAAACAACAGTATCATACAGTTCAACTCCTCTGTCTCTAAACGTCCCTTTAAACAGAGGGTGCAGGTTTTAGGCTTAGCCTTGCCCTGGCCGTGGCAGAGACGGAATTTAATACTTTATTTTAATTACATTTACTTTTAGGGCTACTCTGTTTAGGGCCCGTGATGCTAGCTTTCCATTTGCACTAGCAATAGAGTTTTGCCTTTTAAAACAGGCTTATTTCAAAGTGAAAAAAAGGGAGTCACACTCAGGACAATCATATGCCTTCAGATGGGACAGAAGTGGCCAAGTGAATGACCGAAGTTTGTGGAAGAGCGTGCTGGCAGGATTGCGCTGAGGTTTGACTTTTGAGCCTACGTGCGATGCACAGTGTTTCCCTGCTGAAACCACAATGCACAGTGTGAATGTGTGAGTGCGTGTGCGTGCGTGTGTGTACGTGCGTGTGTGTGTGTGTGTGTGTGTGTGTGTGTGTGTGTAT